GAATCAAAGAAAACACCCAGGTCCTTAATACTGCTGGTGCGTGTAATGATATCATGACAAAGCTGATACTTGTAGCTCAGAAAATTTGTTTTTCTGGTGTATGATACAACACGCGTTTTAGCAATATTAAGTTTCATGGAGTTAGCAGTGCACCAGTCACTTACGGAATTAATGTCAGGTTGAAGTAGGAGGAAATCATGAGGAGAGTCAATAATGCGGGGAATTTTTAGATCATTAGCAAAAATTAGAAATTTACAGTAGTTAACGGAGTCACATAGGTCATTTATAAATACAATGAAAAGAAAAGGCCCCAGAACAGAGCCTTGTGGCACCCCGGACATTACGTGAAAAGGCAGGGAGAGAGTGTGTCTGTTGGTTAAGTAACTGCGAAACCAGCTAACATAAGCATCAGAGAAACCGATGGAGGTCAATTTATGCAAGAGCATATTATGAGGGATGAGGTCAAAAGCATTAGAAAGATCAAAATAGACGGCATCAGCTTGACGCTGACCGCGGACAACAGGCATCAAGAAGTCGAGAAACGTCACCAAATTGGTAACTGTAGATTTAGTTCTGGTAAAGCCATGTTGGTTGGAATTAAATTTAGCGAAATGAGAAACATGATCATGAATAATGAATTCAAACAATTTAGAGAAATTACTGATAATAGAAATAGGCCTGTAGTTGCTCACGGCGGCATGACTGCCTCTTTTAAATACTGGTACAACAGCAGATTCTTTCCATGCAGCAGGAAAATGCTGCTGTGTCAGGCTCAAATTAAATATATGCCTAAGTATAGGAATAAAAATACCTGCACAACATTTGATGATAAAACCAGGAATACCGTCAAGCCCAACAGATTTTGATGGTTTTAGTCTCTTGATGGCTTTGTAGACATCAGCATCAGAAATGGGGGCAAGGGATAAAAATTCAGAAAATTGCGAGACAGGGTGAATGACCTTACAGCAGTGGTTACTGTAAACAGATTGAAAGTGCTTAGCGAATGCATCAGCAACAGCTTCGGGCTGGACTAGGAATTATAATAATTCAATTCAATCCTTTATTATTAATGTGCCGAGTCAACAGCCGCAAGGCCAATTACAGACACAGCACAGTGCAGATGAATGAATTACATTACAGACAAACTTATTAAAAGTCAAATACAAATTACAGGTAAGTACTTGGAAGAAATAATAATGAATAAAAGTAAAAGTAAAAGTAAAAGTAAACAAACAAATAGCTGATAATTATGACAGTAATAATAATTTCATTATCATTAAACTAAGTGTTATTACGAATAGAGGAATGAAACATAAATATTTAATTAAGAAATGAATAGTATAGATTTTCAGAGGATAATAATAATAATTCATTTTGTTTTATGGGACATGCAAATAAAGAAATACTAACAGTTATACTATATTTAAAATTTGTTCGAGTAGAACATTCCTGGCTTCGAATATGTCAACATCCCTGCAGACAACATTAGCAGCTGCTGCGCATCTAGCAGAGGGACAATTTTTAAATAAGGAGCAAACATTGAACAATGCAAAATCTCTGATATACCGAGCAGGAACTCGGAGACCAACAATTTCCAGAACAGAAGGGCAGAATTTCGAGCCAAAATAAACTTGAATCAGAAAGAGAGCATCAAGGCAATGTCTCCTAGTACGTAAAGTATGCAATTTTAACTCCTCAAGAGCAAGAGAATAACTGTAATGACCTTGAGAAATAACAGTAATAATAACATATCTTACAGAATTTTGATTTGTTTCATCATGGTCCATCACACTAATAGTATAGGGTGTCTACAAGAGGTCTGACATATTTTGAGCTTTAATAATTCGGAAAATAACGAAGATAGAAATAAACTGGTTACATTGTTGGAATGAGAAACTCAAAAAGTTTTGTGTCTATTTTTAGTAAAGTTGTACATGTGCTCCATTTGTTGCACATAAAATATTAAGACGATATTAGATTTCTTGCCAGGTTCGGGCAAGCATACCGACATCCACAGTGGGTATTGCGTCTCTTACTGTGGTAAGAGTACAAGAACAGATTTTGCGACAGATATGTTATGAAG